GCCGGCGCGGCTCAGCACCACTCCCCGGCGTGCGGAGGGAGCAGCCGGGCCGGGCCCTGCGCCGTGGGATGCTGCTTACACAGCTGGGACCAGCACCGGCCAGCGCGGAGCGAGCCAGATCCGAACAGGAGCCCTGGGGGGGACAGCAGGGAGCGAGGCAGCCGGGGCGGGGGGACGAGGCACGGGGCTCGGTGGGGAGCCAGCGCGCAGGGCTCTGTTAGAGCTGGTGCTCTGCCAACTGCCCACGCGTGCTTTGCTCCAGATAAATATCAAGAATTCCCGTGTTGATCGTAGATGGCCTTGCCAGGTGCTCGCCCCAGGGTCCAGGAGGCTCTCTAAGGAGAGCAGGAGTCACGCACGCCAAGCCCCTGTCACCCAGCCCTACGGAAGGATTCCCTGACCTCGAGCTTGCACTGTGAAATGAAGAAAAGTTACCAGGACCCTGCAGACCCTCGAGGATGCTGATTTCCACAAACAGCCTTATTTTCAGTGTTTCATCCCATTACTTCGTGGAAGGAAATGCCTGTACAGACCTGTTAAAAACAGAAGAACTTGCACACGAGCTCCTTCCTCTGGACCCTCTGTTCTCCCTTCCTCTGTGTCCGGAGACTTTAACGTCCCCATCATCAGCTGGAGGGTCCCCCCGCTCCCCTCTCTCAGTTTTTAGGACAGCATCATCAGTTTTATCATCAGTTTTATCATCCTGGGGCTGCAGCACCACAACGAATGCAAGGCTGGGGGCTCTCCCACTGCCAGCCCCCAGCCTGAACCAGGCAAGCATTACTGCAAACCTGCACCCACACGATTTACTAATTAACCATCATTGACTGAGCAGGAAATGCCAAAAATGAAGAACGTGAACCATTACAGCAAAGATCTCACTGGGACAGGGGCTTCTGCCACGCCAAGAGGTAACATTACCTTGCAGCTCATCCAAATAAGGGTAAAATCAATTTAAAAAGGAAAGAAAGAGCTGGAGCTGAGGCATCCGTTCGTACTTCATTCAAACCAACAAATATTTCCATTGCAAATCTCGGCAGTAAAAGCTCAGGAAAAAAAGCTGACTGGGCGATGATTTGGAAGAGCTGGATTTTGCAAGCCACGCTGACTATCCCCGCAGCCCTTCGCACGGGCCCGCGGGCCACTAATTGCTCGGACTTCAGTTTTCCTGCCCACCCATGAGAGCAGCGTGGGGGCCTCTCGGCACAGACGGTGCTGGAGAGCTGTCCTCCCAAAGCTCCTCTCCAAACACAGCCGCTTCCCTCGCCTCTTCCTGATCAATACATTAAACAAGAACTTGAGCTAAGTTTTAACCATTTCCCCAGACTCCTGTAATTAGCAAAGTAAGAAAAAAAGGGCACCCGTGGCGGGGAAAAGAAAAAGCAACCAAATAGAAAGGTTAAATCTGCTGCGTTAGGACCAGGATGCTGAGCAGAGGAGGGAGGTGGCTCAGACACCCCGGCCTGCAGCTGGCCCGCTCACCTCCTGCCAGACGAGACCAATAAGGAGCTTTTTTTTGCCCCAGATTTTCCAGCTGCTTCAGGGACGGCGAGCCGGGGCCCCGTGGGCTGCACGAACCGATGCAGCATCACCACGAAGCCATCGCCTCCACCAGCCTGGGCAATCCAAGACATAGCCCGTGGCTACCTAGGGCAGAATTGTGTTTAGGATGGAGCTCAGCCCTTTCTGTTTCTCCAGTACCCATCTACGAGGCGCCGGTAGCGCCAGCCGCGGCACGCTGCTGGCTGGGAGGCTGTGGATCGGGGTTTTGCAACGCAGGCATCTGAATTCTGCCCGCCCCTGGTTTAGCTCTTGAAATACTTCTTCATATGTCACTCCTTAAGTGTCTTGTCAAAAACCACATGAGAAATTTGTAAATTAGAGCCAGAATTAAAACCCCAATCTCCTGTGTCCCATTCCAGCGTCTTAACCAAAAGGCTGCCCTTCCTTTGATGTAAAATAAGGAAAAAATTGGTCTTGGGTTCCTAAAGCATGGCTGTGGGGTTTCTTTGAAGGAAAGGGTACAAGGAGTCACTTTTATTACACACTGTACTGTTTCCTATAAACTCTTTAAAAGCCAGGCTTCAGAGCAAAAAACACCCTGTTCATTTTCCTAGCAGCTCGGACAATATCTCTGACAACTTTTTTTTTTTTTTTTTTTTCCCCCTTGTTTTATTTTTACTTTCAGTTCAACTCCAGCTCAGCGCGGAAAGCGTGGGAGAGGTGTATATAAAGAGCACCCAGTCGGGGCAGTACCTGGCGATGGACACCAACGGGCTGCTCTACGGCTCGGTAAGTAGGAGGTTTATGTGGGACCAGACAGGGAGAGGGTTTGAGGTCTGCAGAAATCTCGTAGCTCTGAGTAATGCAAACCGCAAGCAACAATTAGCCTCTGTTTGTTATTTTGGCAGCTGGACCGGCCGCTCTCCGTCCGGCTTTATTTTGGAGGGGGGAGGAAATAAATAAATAATAACACCGTTCACCGCCCGGCCTCTTGACAAATATTGTATTTCATATCTGGAGCAGCAGCTGCTTTGCATCCCCTCGGCAACTGCCCGCTCTGCACGCGGGGCCGTGGGGGACCCCTGCAGCGTGCAGGGCTAGCGCACCTCCAGCCCTGGCTCTTCCAAGCCCAGCAGCGCCTTGCCCACACCTCTGCCTGCCTCCTGCCCCCTCTCCAGGGCTTTGCGGGGCAGCTCAGGGCTGCCAGAACAAGCAACCCCAGGCAACAGCCCACAGCCACGGAGCAAAGACACCCCACCCCACCCCGTGTTTTTCCTTTGCACCCTGGTGGCACCAAACCCTGTGCTGGAGGCAGCCACAACATCCCGGTGTGAGCGGGGTCGTGCGAGGCGGGAGCTTAACCCCCGTGCCCAGGAACTGGAGGGCACAGGGTCACTGGAAATACTCTGGGTTTTGAGAACAGTCCCATTTCTAGCCAAGTGCACGACACATAATCCTGGTCGGAGGCTGCTTAGCCCCACCAAAGAGCGGTTTTGTTCCCCGTGCTCATGCCCTGAACCCGCAGCCGCCACCCCACAGGTTAGTGCCAGAGCAGGAGGCGGTGCCAGGACCGGCTCACAGAGCACAAGGCTGGGCTTAGTTACCACCAAATAAAATGGCCAGGTCATGGAGAAGTTACTGCAGGGTTGCTCAGGGGTCTAAATCAAGGCTGCTTACCTCTGCGCTTTAAATGTGAGCGGTCCTGGGGCACGAAGAGCTCGGAGGTGGCTCTGGCCGGCCTCTGAGCCAGGGAGCACCCGGGCTGGGATCGCTGCGTCCTCCTCCCTCGGGCATCGCCCCCTCTCACTGCCGCTACCCGGGGCTCTCTTTCAGCAGTTACTGGGCGAGGAGTGCCTGTTCCTTGAAAGGATCGAAGAAAACCATTACAACACGTACGTCTCCAAAAAGCACGCGGATAAGAACTGGTTTGTAGGTCTGAAGAAGAACGGGAACAGCAAGCTGGGGCCGCGGACTCACTATGGCCAGAAGGCAATCCTCTTCCTCCCGCTGCCCGTCTCGCCCGGCTAAGCCCAGAAGCTCAGAGATGACCCCGAGCCCCAAACCCCAGCTGCTGCCGCCTCCTCCTCCCTCGCTCTCTCTCCTTTGGCTAGTACGACAGAGCCAAACGTTAGAGCTCCGAGCTTTAAGTAAAGGCTTTTCCAAAAATAGACAAGGCAGAGCTCCTCCGCTCTGCCCGAGGCTTTGCAGAGATGAGGGGAAAAATCCCTGAGACCCCGCAAGGCCCGCCAGCACCCCCAGCTCCCCTGCCCGCTGCCGGCTCGGGCCGTGACCACGCTGCAGCTCCCGGGGACACGCAGGAACCTGCCCTGGGCCAGCACCCAGAAACATGGCCAGAGGGCACCCCAAGGACACCCCAGTGACCAGAGAAACGCACGCTTTTACCATCCCCGGCCGTTCTAAGGAAAAATACTCTGTATTAGCATATTTATCCACCCAAGTATGTAGCTCCTAATATGCCCTTCAAGCAATTTCAGCCCCGTTACCAAGTGCCAGCCTGGCTCAGTGTTTGCCAAGATCCTCGGCGGATTAAGCTGAACCAGCATCAGCCAAAACCTCCAAGCCCTAGACATCCTAACCTCCCGTACAACGTGGATATTGCTATAGCTCGTGCTAGTACCTGCCATATGTTATTTGTATTTATTTATTAAGTAAATATGTCTCTTCTACAATCTGTGCATAAGTAATTCCAGGCACCGAAGCCCCGTGGTGTTGTCCCAGTGAGGATGGGGCAGAGTGGGAGTGACTGAGGTCTGATGTGGAGGGTGTGATGGTGCAGCAGCCACGGGCTGGCTGGCAGCGCATCGCATCCCACTGCCCCCACACCTCCCGTGTCTGGCTACACGGGGCTCTAAAAATGGCCCCTTGGTGGCTCCCAAACCCTCTGTGAAGGTGGCTGCCTCCTCTCCTGGCATGACACGGATCTCCTGGTAAATCCAGGGAAGTCAGGGCTTGCTGCAGCTCACCCAGCTGAGGGATGAGGTGAACTTTTATCTCCTCCTTTACCCTGGGCCACAAGCTGGGCTGGGGACAGGCACAGAGCCGTGAGTCCTCATGATTCCAGAACACTTTTCCCAATGCTCCCCTTCCTACGATCCCACCCATTGGGCCTGACTTTCCTTATTCAGCAGTAAAAGGGCAAAAAAAAAGGCATTTAGGTGCACAGTGTAACTTAAGGTCGTTAAACATTGCGTTGTTGAAATAGCGGTGTCAGCGAAGAGCACTCCGGTTTGGAAAAGGTGGGTAATCTAATTCGTTTTACCTTTATTTTTGTATAATAGACCCTTGGAAACCGCAGAAGTAGGGATTTGCCTCTCTCTCCCCAGCTTTGCGAAGTGAAAATCTTCATGCAGGGGCGAGCGCCACGGCGCGTTTTGGAGCTGGACAGTGGGGTCCACGTTTCCGTAACAAACTTTCTGCCGAGAGAACACAAACAGGTTTACAGAACCGGGGTGCGCGGGCACACAGCACCTTCTGGCAACAGGGCCTGCGGTGTCCGCTAATTAGATATCGTCATCTATTTTTTCCTGTCACTTGTTGTACTGCCGGGATCCCTCCCCCGGTGCCGCCTTGCTGCGGTGGCGGCAGGAGGGTGTTCACAGCCATGCGTTGTCCCCGAGCAAACACGGCTGGGGATGGTCACCTGCCCCACAGCCAGCAGCGCCGGTTTATCAATTGTCTCGTCCTGATTTGCAATTAATAAATGAGCTGACAGCCCCCGCCAGCCGACACGCTGAGCTCCTGGGGGGAACCTGCGTTGGGCTGGAGAGCTGGGGGGACCTGCCGGCCCCGCGGGGCACCCACAGCCTGGCTCTGCCAGTTGGGTGAGTCCCAAACCCACACTCCTGGCACAGCCCTGGGGCCTTTGCTCTGGAGAGCAACTGAGTTCACCCTCCCGGCTTCCACGGCCTCGGGTTTGTCCCACGCGGGCTCCCCTGCTCACTGTTTCCATTCCTGCTGTGGGGACAGGGACAGGGACAGGCGCTCCCTGCTCCCAGCACCCCCCAGATAAACCCGGGAGGGAGGAGTAAAAGGCACCATGCTTTGCCTATCTCTGCAGCAGCAATTAGTCACTAATTCCTGCACTTGAAAATTGCTCTGCTTGTTACCGTACTCCTGAACTTTTGCGCTTGCTGGCTCGGAAATCTCCCCCCCAGCACCGACAGCATCGCGGCTGACCGTGCTCCCAGGCAAACAGGAGCCACAGTGGGCAAGGAGCACCACGGCCCCTCAGTGCCACTTCTCACCGGGGGAACGGCGTGGAAACCACATCAACAGGCAATTTCTGCTCCTCACGGATGCCGGCTGCTTCTCTGGGGCTCTGCAGAGCGAAGTTCCATCCAGCTGCCCATGGGGAGGGCGGGGGTACGTCTGCAGGTACGTGCTGAATGCTCGAAGGACCACAAATAGCAATTTCCAGTTTTCACTTATAATCCCTGACAGACAAAAAGGCACATTTTTACTGTATATACCAACTAAAATGCTTTAATTAAAAGAAAGAACAATGCTTGTAAAAAAAATTCTACTCTGCACAGGCACCTTCCCTTCCACCCCAAAAAATTAAGCGGAGCATTAGGATAGCTCTGGGGTTTTTCAGAATCTCACTACGACAGGGAAGCTTGCTGGTTATCCCTAAACTGGCAAACACCTGCGATTAGTTTGCAGCGTCGCCTTATTTTACACATCTAAGCCTATGGAATGTAACTCATACTCAGCGTACACAATCCCACTGTAAAAGGTGAACAATAATGATTCATCAGCTCTGCTTTTAATGACCTGAACAGGGAGGTAAAACACTCTCTCGGTTCCCAGCGAAGGCAGTTCAGGCCGAGGGTGGGCAAGCAGCAGGAGACGGCTCCCTGCAGCCCTCCAGCTGATATGAGATACCCTGTGGGGGCATCATCATCATCATCATCATCATCATCCTCACACATGCCCACGCTACACCTGCAGGGACACGGTTCCTACACCAGGCTGAACCTCTCCATCTCTACCTTCTGTGCTGTGACAAACTTGTAATTGCTTAACTGCAGTGGATAAGAGTAGAGAAGCTCGATATTTAAAACAAGGTAGAACTGAATATCTGCCAAAACCCCGGATTTAGGCTGATGAGCTGCAGGAGAAAGGAGAAGAGAAGGACCCAGCCACTGCTGATGTCCCCGCACCACTGCTCTGGCAGGTCCAGACCTGGGAAAAGCTACAGACAATGTTCCAGTGGCAAACACAAAGCTGGGCAAGACAGAGCCAACGGCATCCACACCTTGCTTCAACATCGTGGTTGCTTTCCCTGTGAAACCCTGGGTTGTCATTCAAGTCAAAAAAAATGAATGAGTGCATGACCAGGAGATCCAGGTTTCTAATTAAACTGGAAAGTTGGAAAGGGTCACGCCAGATTTAGCCGTGCTGTCTTCCAACACCTCATTAACCGCAGGGCATTCCTCTGGTTAGACTGCTGCCGCTCAGAAGCTGCCGCCACAGGTACACACTTGACGCCCAGCTGGGGAAAAACGTCAACACTTTGTCTGAAAAATAATCCCTAAGGAAGCCACAGTAATTGCTTCAGACAGATGAACACGCAAGGATGACATTACCCAGGGAAACCACACTCGCTTCAGAGAGTTTTGTCCTTAGGGTGAGAGGTGAGGGGAAAAAAAGAGAAAAAAAAAAAAAGGTTTAAAGACTTGTAAGATTTAGTGAAACCATTACACTTGAAGACCTTGCCCAGTGAGTGCAGTGAGCACAAGTTCTGGAGCGTGGTGGGAGGAAGGAGAAGCACAAGAGGGCGAGCCAGGCAGTCGTGTCCAGTCGTGTTCAGACTCTCAGCTGAATTCACAGAATTCAGACCCAGCCGCAGCCAAGGGCACCCGACGGGGTAAATTTCAGCCTTTTTCAGCAATGACCTAGTGCTGTCTCCGGGTGGATCTTGCCAGGATCTTGGAAGCTTCCACATCCTAAAGAAGATCCCACGTCCTAGATCCTTTTTCTCACGATTGCCCAATCCAGGAGGGCTCAGACACGGGAGGGGCAATAAAGGGCCACGGATCCCCGCTGGGCTGCGCGGCGCAGGGGTTTGTCAGCTGGATCCAAATCTAAGCAGAGATCTCAACATGGAAAGAGCCCCCAGCTGCAGAGCGCCCTGCGTCCCGCCCGCTCCCCCCTTCGCCTTGGCTCAGGCACCCTCTGCGGAGATTTAAACCCGACTGCCAGCTCCTGTTCACTGTTTAACCTGCGCCAGGAAGAAGGGCAGGGGGAGTCACACCAGCTATGGCGCTAGGAGAGATGAAGCTATTTTTCAAAAATGTCACATTCTACATTAAATAAACAACTCTCTGACACGCTGCCATTCGTTAGGGAACAATGTAAATCTGGGCCTAACGGCTCCCATCCATGAAAACGCCTAAGGAAGGTGAAAGCTGGGTAGGGCTGGGCAGCACAGCTGGGCTTAGCTAGAATCACAGAATCATCCGGGTTGGAAAAGACCTTGAGGCTCCTCCAGCCCAACCATGACCCTCCCCCTGACCGTTCCCAACTCCCCCAGACCCCTCAGCGCTGGCTCAGCCCGACTCTTCAACCCCCCCAGGGATCCCGGGGACTCCCCCCTGCCCTGGGCAGCCCATTCCAACGCCCAACAGCCCCTTCTGCACAGAAATCCTTCCTCAGAGCCAGCCTGACCCTGCCCTGGGCAGCTTGAGGCCATTCCCTCGGGGCCTGGCGCTGGGGCCTTGGCTCCAGAGACTCATCCCCCCTCTCTGCCCCCTCCTGGCAGGGAGTTGCCGAGGGCCAGGAGGTCTCCCCTCAGCCTCCTCT